TATTCATGTACAACATGCGCGTAATAATCAAATATTTAAAAGTATAAAATTTGACTTCATGTCTGTTCCAAAAGGAAAATGTTCCGTTTTACAAAAACAAATGAACAATTAATCTACACAAAAATTATTTGAGTAAATTTATCGAAATAAACAATATTAATTCTAAACTCCTAAAACTATGGAATACCGACCCCTATTGTTTTTATAACAAATCACCGAAGGTTTAAAATAAAGGATTTTATTTTTCTGATCAGATTTGAGACTAGCCTGTATAAGAATAATCCTTTGATTTCCTGTCAGGTCGACAACTTAATTAATTATTTGTATTATTTTTTGCTTTCAAAATACTTTTTGTGAAGTGTTATCAAAGAAATGTGAGGGACCATTCTTAGAAAATGCGAAATTGATGGTTCTGAAAATATTTGGCAATATCTTTTATCAAATGTACCAAGGTAATGACGTAGTAGAAGTTTTCATAATTTTCTGTTTTGTAACTTTATTTAAAGTTAATGAGCCTTTTTTCATAGAAATAATAAATATTCAGCCTTTCAGCATTAAATGTTATTAAGAACAATAATTAATACAATGCTAGGGCAGTCGCTCATCAGAATTACACCATGTCCTTTCAAATTATAGCGGCGAATGCCGCGGCAAAAGTGAGCTTGTTCTTACAAAAAGCACTGCTGGTATCAGGCTGGAGAAACATTTTAATTAAAATTATGTAAACATGCCAACAAATCTGTGATATGGTATATATTAAACAATTGACATTAAAAAAAAGAAAAGCGTGATATATTAACAAATAAAAAGACACAGCCCTGCCAATAACCGAACCAAAAAGTCAGAAACAAGTTCAAAAAAATCATTGGAGTCGGGTACAATGACTTAAGCCAGATTTACATTGATACAGTAGCTGGCGCCAGTTTTAGGCGCCTAAAAACGGTGCCAATAACTGGACTGGATTGTATCATTTACATTTTTGCCAGCAGTTGCATTGTAGGTTTAGTGGTGACTACACGTTTGGGAAAAAATTAACACTGATTTTATTTTCGCTTTCATTTCTTCAATAGTTAACCTTTCCATATTCATTGAAGAGCAAATATTTTGCAGGGCGGTTATTCGTATCTATTTATTTCTATAATTTTGCGAGCGAATGTTCCATAAACACTCCTCATTTCTATATAAATGTCTAAATTGTAATGTGTTATCATCACCCCACTTTCGAGACATTTTCTTGTCGAAAGTTTCAGCAAATCAATAACACGTGGTGACATTAAGCGGCAGCGTCAGCGTCTACCGTGAACGTGTTTAAAAAGATCCAGTGACGCTGGCAAGGGGCGCGGGGGATGCGGGGTGTGGGCACTGGCATGAAAAGTAGACCTTCGTTCTACTCCATGCCAGCGCTGGCACCAGCGCGGGACTGGCACCAAAAATGTTTACATGGCTCCAGTGCTGGCATGCCAGCGGGACTGGCGCCAGCTACTGTATCAATGTAAATCTGGCTAATGACTTTAATGAACTTTGTTGTTGTCTCTAATTGATTTTTATTGCGTTATACTACGTAAAAATTATATACATATAAATGAAATACCTGCATATTTTTGAAATATGTTCGCATTTAAATTTTTATAGAAAAATAAGAAAGAAATCTCAGTAAATATAAATTATATAATAAGCATTAAACTGCAATATAACAAAATCTTACATCCAGTCGATTGTATTATTGTTTTAGTTTTGTCTATACTAATAAAAAAGCAAAATACATTTACAATCTTGTTTATCCCAAAAAAGTTAGCTAGTCTCGTTACGGACTTTTTAATATGCGCTTACGGAAACTACAGCAGCGGATGATAAACGTCAACGATGATGGACTCAAAATTTTAACTTACTTTGAGGTGTATCCTATTTTATATTAGTTTGTGTTAAATAATTTTAAATAAAACGTTAAATTTCATTCCTTTTCTTTAATTTAAAATGCTATGTTATTTAGCAATAAATAATCCTTGTGGTAATCATAAAATATGTCGTGTTTTTTTTCGAAATTTCACGAGTTTGATTCCCAGTTTAAGCAGGCGGTTATAAAAAAATCTGTCAATGCAGTTCTAGTTATTATTAAAAATAAAATGATGTCTTCTTTCAGTAAAGTATCCTATCTTCAATATTTAATATTCTATCCCTTCGTGTGATGTAGCCGTGGGTCACCCTGTATATTTCTACTGTCTATCTATCAGAACTTAGGTCTCTTTCTCATTAAACGTTCCATTCCACATTCATGCCTTGATGAACATATATGATGGATGATAATTTCTTTCCTCGATATCCCAATGTACTCGTAGAAGGAAAACTAAGTATTATTCAAAATCAATACTGAGCTATAACAATAAAATTGGATTTTCCGGTCAGTGAAAATTATTTTTAAAAACGAGTTTAACTTGGCATCTGTTTGCGTAGTGTGATTTTCTATGCTTTGTATAGGAATAAAAGATATCATTAATAATTCAAAGATTTCACTCTATTGTTTGGACACACGACATTAGAGCCATAATAATTAACATAACTACCCGAATCCATAACGAATCAAAATTAGCAATTATTTTAAAAATGGACGGCAATCTCAAAAACATATAGTCGAAAAATCTATTATTTACATGTTATTGTTTGCATTGTGGCAAAAACCTTTTAGGATTAGATACGGTAGAATAGGCTTAGACAGTGGATATACTTTTATTTCAAATATAACTCTTACTGTAACGTAATAAAGTTGATGTTTAAGCCAAATTATATTAACCAATGCGTCTATTTTGGGTATCAGTAAACTGTTTGCTGCCGGTCACGTCCTTGTTCGGACAACAATTCGATGACGTTGTAATTATAAATTTTAATTAATTATGCATACGATAGTCTTAATCTGATATTATCGCAGCATGCAGACGTAACATTTTGTGCCGAAAATATTATTTAATGACATAAAATCAGCATATTTTGTACGCAATATAAACAATCCCAAAAAAATAGACGCACGAATCGTCTTAACTCATCAAGACATATCAAAACTGAAATCAATTGATTTTAACCCTTAATTCACTTGTCTTTAAGTTATAAATATAATTAGAAAAGACATTCTACTGTAACCTGATATACTTCGTAACGTGTTTTAGAAATACATGTAAATTCAGCTCTTAATCATATTGACTGTAATTGATATGTCAAACTGAAACATGACATCAACTGATTATAATAGATATGGCAGTAGTGTCGATTCAGGCATGATTCTCTAAACCTAAACTTAAATTTGACAACAGTGTATCCTTGTCATTCTCTATACAGAATGAAAAGGAGAGACTGGTGTTAAATTTAGTTTTAAGTTTAAAGAATCATGCCATAATCGACACCAGAGACTTCCTAGAACTACAAGTAAGCAAATCGTGATTCAAACAGATTTTAGTAATAACGCTTATAGAATGTCATAATTATTAACGTTTACGCAACTTGACACAATCACACACGATGAGTTACTGCATTTTCTCATATAAAATAGTTTTTAGTCAGTTTTGTAATAGTTCCACATTATATAAAGAATACTCGAGTACCTATCTAACTCAAATTACCTCCGACTAATGAAACTTACCTTGGTGTGGGTGTTGGAAATATGTATTTATTTATTCGACTAATGAATTGAAATTTATAAGATAATGCCTACAACATGTTTATATAATAAATTACCCGACAATATAAAATTAGAAACTGGAACAATGTTTAAAAGTAAGTTGACAAAATGATTACAAAAAAAATGTTATTATAGTATTAAGGAATATATGACAGATGACAAAATAGCTGACTTCAATATTTGCACACCTGCCTGCAGGTAGAATACATGTATTTACTTCTATAAAATGTATCAACCTGTGAACTGTATTTTGGCAAATAAATTATATTATTATTATTATTAAAATTAGTATCAAACTAGTCTTACTACAGGAGAGAGATATAAAAGTATACCTAGAAGCTAGAGTAATATATGTTATATAATAATAGAAAGTGTACTTCATGGAAAATAGTATTAGGTACTTTAATGTTGTTTTGTTATCATTTAAATAATAAATGCATACTATTGGTAGGCAATACAAATCAAAGCAGAATAATAATTTCAAAAGTGTAATAAAAATAATGTAGCTTATAATTAGTTTATTAACTTATTATTAATTACTTGTAGCCACCTTGTAGTCTAGGCCAATCGCCATTACATACATATGCCATCTACTCAAATGCTTCTAAAAATAACGCATCAAATCGATTTATCGACGTATCGTAAAGTTCATCATGTTGAGCCTATAGTTTTTATGTCACAAAATGTTTGTAACGCTACGGTCACACTGGCGCTATCGCGAACATTTTAAATTTTCACAACAAGTGGAGTCAGTCACATTTCAGAACACATCAGCAATGTGACTATTTCTTGATTAGATGCGTAGTGAAAATGGCAAATCAGCGCGATATTGTGGCCCCAGCCAGCATAACTGTTTTTTCACTAAGCTTTAAAACTATGTTATTTTGTTTATGGTGGATGTCAAAAATTTGGCATAACTACCAAATAAAACTGAGATTAGGAATGACGAATATGACGATCTAGATTGATTGAAAGGCAAATTTAATAGTGCAGGTGCAGTTTCGTGTCAAAGGTGATTAGCAACAGTAGCTTGTGAGAGGCAATATACGTATTTTTCTGACTGTACAAGTGTACATTATGATAAAAGCGGCCTAGAAACTTGAAAAATGCAACTTATTGAATTCTCTGTAGCAATGTGATCCTTATTGGCCTTAGTATAACGATTACTTTATAATTTAAAGTACTTATTACTGTTGTTATTCTATAGTATGGAAGCGCGGAGCAACACTAATCTACTGAACACATAAAAATATACCTTATCATAAAAAATTACGGAAGAAGAGTCGGTAGATTTTATATAAATAATACAAGATAAAAATAATTATAATTACAGGGTCACCAATACAAGGAAGTGATATATCCAATGCTGCTGCAGATGGAGACTGGGATTTGGTACACAAACTGTGAGTTTACTCTACGTTTTATAAATAATAATATTACAAAAGCCAATTTATTTTATTTTTAAGCCAACATGTGTGATTCTAGCTGCGACTCATAACTGGATCCCGCAGTTACGCCTGAAGTGTGAGGGCTAGATCGGGGAGTTGGTTTACCTGGCAAGTCGGCTGGCTAGCAGCTCGGACTGCGGACCATGGGACTAGTCAGGTGACGCTGTGATCAGAGAAGCCCAGTATGCCCGAGTTACTGGTTGGAGGCGGGGTGGTTTGACGTCTACCACGCTTGCGTGAGCGCACGTCAAAGTATACCTGCACCGACTAGTAGCCCTCTACAATGCACCACACAATTACCTGCATCATGAGGGTTTGTTCACAGCAAGCCAAAGCGGCGTTGATCTTTGCCGTAATATAATGCATTTTTTCTCTCCGTAATCGAAAAAAAGTAACGAATAAAAATATGAATTCTAATGATACATAGATAAGTATATTTCTGTAGAAACACTTATATGTAATTAAAGAGCCGTAGCTCTGGTGAGTTTATGTTCATATTTTTATGAAATCGATGATAAATTGAAGAGTTTGATGGCGCAGTGCAAGCAAGTGCAGCAAGTTTGGTCTGCGATCATGAAAGTAACTTTTTTATTAATGTAATGATCGTGAAAAATAAACATGTTTCGAAATGGCCAGGCATAGGATGTGTGAACTTAAGTTTATTTTCTCAAGATTCGGAAGGCACATGAAACTATTGATCCCAGCTACGTCTGTTGTCGGTTAAACATAACATACAGATAAGCAGCGGATAAGCAGCGGTATGAAGCGTAAATATAATGAAATAGAAACATGTAAACTTTAAATATTGTATATTAAATATAATAATAAAAAGACGAAGTCGCACAAAGTATGTATAGTGCGGTTAATAACTCATATGTTATAGTAAAACATTATTCATATTATTTTTATCTACTTCTAAAAATATAATATGGAAGTTTGTATGTTGAATTCCACAAAAACTTTAATTGAGATATGGGATAATTTAATCACAGAAATATTTAAGGTTTCTCTGGATTTAAAAAAAAATACTATACTTATTTATTCAGGGGACGATTTTTATCCTAGATTTTTTTTATTATTCTGAAGTACCTACACGCGGACGAAGTCTTGGGCAATGATTTCGATTTCAAATACTTAGTTAAAAATATTGTTGTTGAAACAATGTATTTGTTGAACTGGCAACAAACATTGCTAGCATCATCATAAATACCAGAAAAGTTTTCGAGTACAGTGAATAACAAGCAGTGATTGAAATTCGATTAATTAGTATCGGCTAGTAGGAATAGGATTGATATGGAAAAGAAAAGATTATTTATTTTATTTTGTGATTAATGAAAGCTTAAATAAATAATACGATAACAACTTTACAATGACTAGTAATGACTTAACATGGTGTTTAGAAAACATTATTGGAACAAAAGTGATGGAAATAATATCACAAAGCTAACAGTCTAGATAAGGCGATATAGGTATATTTATAACGGTAAGAAAAAAACGCGTCAAGTGCTAATCATACTCGCATAATAAGGTTACCTTATCTGCAAGTATAAAAATAATTAGAGCAACACCACGGAACGCCGTATTGCACTATAAAAAACTAGTAACTAAATTTCAAAAATAAAAAAGCCCGTCTGTATTAAAATTAAGTTTATGAAAAACTAAATAGAAAAACAATTCTTTTAGTCCCAAATTATGTTAAGTAAGGAACAAAACTACTTTAACAGTCAGGACCTAGCATTGGGAAAACTTCATCCATGATAGTATATCTAATGGGTCCCGGCTGTTAAAAAAGCTTTTTTCCTAACTTCAAAGAATTTTATAAGATTACTGGCCTCGTTTTTTCTTTTTAGTTTTTTATAAACTTAATTAAACAAGGCAGGTTTTTCTTACTTTTTTAAATTAACTATATTATTTTTGAAATTTTAGTTTCAATATTTTTTTTTTTTATTTTATAAGTTGTATATTTTGAAACCCTTCAAATTTGATACCCGCCCGATGGAATTTATGCAATTTTTCATGTTGGTGGCAAAAATCAGCCATTTTGATTTTTTGAAATTTTTGTATACCAAGTGTCACAAACGCAATCATGACGAATCAAATGACACTGCGTATATTAAAATCCGTCAAACCTTTGATGTATTCATACATACGCTCGAAAAACATTACCCTTGGCAGTCGGGTAAATAGATTTAATAGGTACTACTTTTGCTCGTATAGTTCGAACGAAAAACTTTGAAAAATATAGGAATATATTTTCAGTAATAATTGCTCTTTAAATGAAATTTGATATATCATACGCAGCGTTTCTTGAGGAAATACTGGTTAAAGAAACCTTATATTATAGGTATATATATATATATATATATTAAACTAAAATATATTGTAATATAATTTTTGTTTGAACATTTAACTTTTAGATTTTCATTTATCTTCTGTTTTGTTGCAGAATTAGAGACAGATTCAATGACAGGACTATGTTCGAGGTAATACTGTTATTTTGTTATATCTTTATATACAGATAAGAGTTAATTGATATGAGATACAAACAATACCTCAGATGTTTATTTGAAGTATTGATAAAAATTAAATATAAAGAAAATATAAAGAAAAAAATCAACGCTGATCAGGCAGCAGACGGGACTCGAACCCGCACCCTTCGCAATCCGGGCGAATGCACTGACCAATTATGCTACCACGGCCCTGATGGCCGCGTCGAAATTCTTCTAGCCTTTCCCATCTCTTCGCATTATAGGTAACGCACAATTAGTGCAGTCACTGATGCATTATTGCTCCGAATTTTTTTACTGTGAACCGAATTGCATACAATTTTGGAAATAGGTTGCTCTTACCCTTAACTTTAAAAGTGAAAATGATTTGAACTCCGGTGAATTATTATTTTTTTCAAAATAACCTCGGATATCGATAGAAAGTCTAATTTTAAGCAAAAAATCATCTATAAAGTTTTTCAAAAAATCCAATACTTTTCAAGTTATTGGCAATTGAAAATTCGAAATTTTTTCCCGTTTTTCATCGGTTTTTTGCAAATATCTCCAAAAATATAAGCTTTATCAAAAATTTTATAAATAACAAAATTGTAGCAGGTAAAACAATGAACAATTTGGTTTTTTATAAAGTATTCTAAGTGTAATATTAAGCTAGATATTAAAGATCAAAGCCGTTTTTTATTTTGTCTGAAATTTAATCGATGTGGTCAATGCCATCTAGCGGCGAGCAGATGCATTTTATGCATTCTAATACAAAAGGGTTTTATAGTGCTTGAAATAAGCTTTAAAATGAGCACTATTAAAAGTCTTTTGCACGTAAAATAAGTGAGCTGTATTGCAAATAAGGGGAGCATCTAATGTTTTTTCTTTTAAATCAATGGGTTTCATAAGTGCCATTTCCACCAAAATTAAAATAAATCGTATTCCGCCTAGAATTAACTTTATTATGAAGAGTTTGATAGATAATATCAGTTTGGCTGCTTCAGGACACATATTTTTCAAAAAAGTCAAATTAAAAACATTAAAAGAAAAACCAAAATTTCAAATTTTTAAAAAACCCACTTTTTTTTCATAATATCTCAAAAATGACGACAGATACGTATAAAAGTGTACGATTTAAAAATTTAGGTATTTTTCTGACAGACAATTTGGTTTTTTTGTTTTTTCTGTCAAAATAAAATTTACGGAGATATGATTGTTTAAAGAGCGCGTGGCAGCGCAATCACTGCCTCTCTGAAGCCCTTTAACCCTTCACCGTTTTAGAAAAAGGTTTTTTAATATATATTTCAATAAAGGATGTTTTAGCTCTCTTAATTACCTTTACAATGGTTTTACATAAATTGTGATAGCATGAAAATTGAAGTTGTTATGGTCCAAAAACTTATCATATTTTTTTCTACTTAATAACTGAAAAGTTCGGAGTGTGAATATTTGGAGCAATGTGAAAGTACGTAGTATAATAGAGACCCACAACTATTGTAATGTGTTTATATATATATAATATGGCTCATATATTTTGGAAACGTAGGCATGAATACATACCAACGTTCTTATATGTATATATAACACATTTCATCATCATCATCATTCATCCAACGGATTGGGGGTGGGTCATGAATGACGGTTTATTAACCCACTTAAGTCTGTAGATCCACCCGCACCACAAGAACTGCTGAAAATGATTTTTTGCAACTGCAAAAAAGGATGTGGAGCCTCTTGCGGATGCAGAAAAGTTGGTCTGTTTTGTAATAGTACCTGTGGAACGTGCAGTGGAGATAACTGCCAAAATAGCCCTCCAATTCAGCCAGAAGATGTTGAATGTGACAGAGACTCCGACATTGAGTCATGAATAATAATATTATATTTTAATAATAATAGTACAATTTTATATAAATAGTAAATATTTTATTCAATAAATGGCAATTTTTTACTCTAAATTAAATTATTTTTAAATATGTAATATATACGTAATATATGGGTTGAAAATGATTTTAATATGAGGTAATTATGTTAGAAAATACTTAACAATTTCATCACTTACTATTTCTAGCGATAAAATGGCTCAATGTCAATTTTTCCATTAAGGGGTTGTTTACACCCCTTAAAAATAATAGGCGGAGTTCAGATCATTTTCACTTTTGAAGTTAAGGGTAAGATGAGCCTAATTCCAAAATTTCATGCAAATCGGTTCACAGTAAAAAAAATCGGAGGTAAGACCGTATTTTTCGCTTCAATGACTGCACTAAATGTCAAATGAATACTTTTACAAGTATTAAACATTTGAAAGAAGAGATAGCAATTATAGTTATAATTACTATTTTTAAGCATGTAACTGCTTGATATTTAAATCTAAAGAAAATATAACTAGAAAAAAATCTACGCGGACCAGGCAGCAGACGGGACTCGAACCCGCACCCTTCGCAATCCGGGCGAATGCACTGACCAATTATGTTACCACGGCCCTGATGACCGCGTCGAAATTCTTCTAGCTATCCCCATCTCTTCGCTTTATAGATAACCCACAATGTCAAAAGAATACTTTTACAAGTATTAAACATTTGAAAGAAGAGATAGCAATTATAGTTATAATTACTATTTTTAAGCATGTAACTGCTTGATATTTAAATCTAAAGAAAATATAACGTCCGGTCCGCGTAGAATTTTTTCTAGTTATATTTTCTTGCTTAAAAATATAAATTATTTTTGAATTTACTATTGAAAAAAATATATAAAAGTAATTGGATTCGGTCGTTCATAAAAACAGCAAACAACCAAATAACACTATTTTGCTATTGCAGACATTTCTGTAATGCAAAGCAAATGCCACCTGGAACAACACATCGAAATGAACAATCTAAAAAAATCTAAAGTAGGAACTAAGTAAGCTAAGAGAAATGGGTTCACGAAGAATAAAACTCAAAATGGAATTGATTTTAAACTCGTTCGCGGTGTGAACCCAAACTGAGTTTCAGCAAACTTCATTTCGCGCTCGATTCTGTCTGCGCTTTAGGTTTGTTCCTGCATTTAGTAAATTAACTAAAGCACTATGAAGAAACGGTGTAAGTCTAATAACGGACTAAAACGGACAGAATTTTGTACTTTGAAATTAAGATCATGTGTTCATATTTCGAATTCTCAGTCTGGTTTCAGGTCTTTGAAAATAAACTTCTCATTTAAGCGCAATCTGAAATCAAAATGATTGCGGTGCTGGAGTTAATAGCAATATCATAGTTGATAAACAATTTACCTAATTTGAAGGAAAAACAATTAAATGCTTAGATTTAATATCACCGAAACTGAAACATTATATTGTTATGTCAACCAAAATTCCAAATTCAAACAGTGGCAAGAGTTATAGTTTTCAGCCCGCCTGCCAATCGTTGCTTACACTTCATATAGTTTAGGCATCACACACATGTCTTTCAAAGCTGTACCTTTTAACTAATATTAACTGCAGTTTAAACAGATTAATTTATTATTTTTAACAGAGTTAATATTAACAGATAAATATTTTTCAGTATTTATTACATACCTACAGAGAAATACTCTCTATTTGTTGCAAAATTATTTGTAACAACTGAACACACTCAGAAAGTTTCAAAATTCAGAGCGCCATTTAACCGTATATGCTCTGACAGCTGGACTCCGCTTAAGGTTATTTTTTTAGCCTAGTTATGCGGAAAAATCTCCGTATTTCCATTATCTAAAGAAACTTTTTTATTTACAGCAAAGTATCACAATCATAAATGAGGTCGAATAAGGTTTTGTAATAAACCAAATTTATCTAAAAAATCTTTGTATTTCCAGCCAAGTATCTCAAGCGGGAGCGTGCGCAGCCTGAGGCCCCCAGGCCCTGGCGGCCACGTGTACGGCGAGGCCGAGTACGCCTTCCACGAGTCATCCAACATAAACGGCAAGAAAACCGAAAGGAGCGGCGGCCACAAAATCATCAATGACAACGGCAAAGTGCATGAATACGATTTCGTTCCGAAATTTTAAGCTGAGATCGCATTCATTGCCTGCTACTTACTAACTTTTACCGCACACTTAAATCAGTTTGTTTTCAAAAGTGTGAATCGAATGTCCGTGAAATTTATTAAGTTTGCTAGCTATTTAGAGAGTTGCTAAACTGATAGTAAACACATAGAACGCCTTAATAGAGAATGTAGATTCGTAATAACAGGATTCTCTCAACTATAACAAAATTTAAGGCGATAGATAAACAGCTTGTCCCTATTATTTTTGGACAACAAGTTGAACCCAAAAAATTAAATGGAAGGGAATCTCTGAGAAGTGTAAGGTTACTTTCGATCTAAAAAATATCTAGAAGCTCTTATGGATAAGAGAGGACTTCAACTAAATGTTAAATAGAGCATTTATTTAAGAGTAAATAAGTATACACTATGCAGATTTGCGATTTCTTTCTCAAACTAATTTTGTTCAATATTAACGAAGTCTGTATGGAAAAATACTGCTTATAATTTACCCTTTCAACCTAATATCTTCTCAATTGTATACAACGATGTCAACATTTTTTTTAATATTGGTAGCAGTTTTTGAATTATTTAAATTATTAATTTAGTTTTTAGGAGATTACAATAAGTGCCATTCTTAATAATAGATAATGTTAAAAAATTACATTATTATATGACGCATTCAAACATTGTAAGAAGTCATAAATATAATACCAACGACAGTACAATCAAATTTAACATATTATGTACTTAGCTGTTAGCTGCTTCTATCTGATATACGAGTATAATGTTGATGAACATTGGTGGACTCACTTTCTATATTTTTTGAACTATAATTCTTAAGTAGTGTTAAACTAATGGGTTAAACATAATATAACCAAAAATTGTCATATCGCTAACATCGTGCTATCGTAAAATTAGCAAAACATCAATTACCCCCACAAATTGTTTCGATTGTGAATTTCAAACATATAAAAATCTTAGTCTGGAAAATTATGGAAAATTGATTTATGGGTGTCTGTACATACATGATACATACTTAACAAAATACAAACATGCATTAGAATTGAATTTTTGAAAAATGATTTTGTAATGGATTCAAGCTACGTTGTAACTAAGTTCAAATCTGTGAAACTGTTTTATGGACAATATTATAAAACTAATATCTGTGATTTAAAATCTAAAAATATGAAATTAAATAATAATTAGTTATATTATTACTTTTTGTCTTTTTTGTACACACGTCCTTTGGAGTTAAGTATAAATGGAGTTCAAAATTATATAAGTATGTATAATTAAAAAGGTTTTCTGGAAGAAATCGCTTTTAGCGATAAGACCGCTCAATGAAGCACTCTTTTAGGATTCCATAGCCAAATGGCAAAAAATGGAACCCTTATATATTCGTCATGACTGTCTGTCTGTCCGTCCGTATGTCACAGCCACTATTTTCCGAAACTAAGAACTATCTGAAATCCGAAACTACTTTGAAACTTGGTAAGTAAATGTATTATGTGTACCGTATTAAGATTTTCACACAAAAATATAAAAAAAAGTACCAAGTGCGAGTCGGACTCGCCCATGAAAAGTTCCGTAGCAGCAAGTAACATAATATAAAACCTGCCCCCCGCGCTCTCTGCACCCGCTACCGACCAAGCCACGACCCGCGCGAATTATAATTATTATTTACTTAAGCACCTATTACACATTTGTTATTAAAAAATAATGGTTCACGGTTTATGCATAACGTTTATGTTTATGAAATGAAATGTTTTATTTTTGTATTTGAGTTGATTGAATGGAAGGTAAATAGCGGTTTACGATTTATGACGTATTAAATAAGAACTACTTATTTTAGGAGTTACAGGGAGGGGCACAATTTTACCACTTTGGAAGTGTCTCTCGCGTAAACTATTCAGTTTAGAAAAAAAATATATGAGAAACCTCAATATCATTTTTGAAGACCTATCCATAGATAACCCACACGTATAGGTTTGATGAAGAAGAAAAATTCATAAGTATGGGGAATCCCCAAAATTTCTTCACTCATCTGGGAAACCAATATTTCCAATATTGGTTTCACTTACAAACTTGCCTCTGCTCACCCCCTTAAAGGACGATTTCTGGGATAAAAACTATTCCATCTCCTTTCTGGGGACTCAAACTATCTTTGCTGCATGTTGCATCTGAATCTGTTTTGCTGTTTAAGCGTAAAGAGGTAACAGACAGATAGACAGAGACGCTTTCGCATTAAAAATATTAGTATGGATGGATTTAGTTTAGTCGCACTTTAGACTTTTGACTCCAAGGAAAGTGTCAGATATTTGGAAGAGTGAATATGAAGTGCACTATTAGGTACTATAAAACATGAGACGTCATTTGAATTAACTTTTATTAATGCCTGACTTAATTCAATTAGTGGGCTAATTTCTATGAAAAATCCCTAGCTACACCGATGTTGCTAGACAACCTACAGTCTTCGAAAGTCCGAATATGCCCATATTTTAGATGATTTTGGGTTTTTTCTTCCATCTTAGTCATCCCTACTATCACCTTTAATATGCTTTAATAACCTGCCCTGTAATGTAAACAGCTGGCGGCTTGACGAGATTTTCTTTCCCTCCCTACTGGGAGTACAGAATTGGAATCTATCCATTCCTTAGAAAACACTCAAAGTGGGTAAAAGACGATATAAGTTTTTTAAGCCCTGTTCAAAGCTATAAATTCTCAAAAAAAATTTGTACGATGATGCGATAACGCCTTATGTTAAGGTATAGCAATGATACATTTCACTACAATAATAATGAATATTTTGTAGGTGTAAGGAAACTTCTTCATTACTTATAGATTAGTACATAGCATTCATTATATCGAAACATAAATAACAGATTACTGTAAAAACCGATCTGGTGTGAGTCGGACACGCACACGAAGGGTTCTTAACTATAGAACATTAGAAACTATATTTTCTCCTAAGTTTTATGATAATCTTTGTAATCTTTTGGTTGATTGACAAAAGAAAAAAAAGTTTAGGTACATTATTTTTTGATTATCTAATTGAAGGACTAAGTATAATTTGGTTTAATTAACTCCGTCATGACACCTATTATGTTCGTTTTGGTACAGTTTTGGTAAGGTTCCAGGGCATCACGGGGTAGTTGATTCCATTAATGCCGGCAATATGAGAATGACTGGAGAAGCACATTTTCAGTCAAATCTTCATAAATAGACTAGACATCAGATGCGGTAAAGTGATTTGCCGCGACGTTTATGGAAAATAACTTATTACATCGCCAAAAGTAAGTCTGAAGAAAAATAAAGCTTAATTTAGTACTTATTATTAGTAAGTACATATGTTATTTATATTATTATTAAGAAAAATTAGGAAAAACGTTATACTACTATATCCAAATCACCTTAACCTACTTAACCACTTAAATAATATATCTATATATATAAAAATGAAACCCGTTTTCCGTTGTCACGACATAACATGAAAACGGCTTGACCGATTTGGCTGATTTTTTTTTTGTAGTTTTCTAATACTCTGTACAAGGTTCTTACGGAAAAAAATATAAAAAAAATCTCTCAGAAAGATTGAAAAATATAACATAACGAATGTCAACGTCATTCAATTTAAAACAAAAAATCTGTGGTAATCTGTGACACCACATCGATAACCGCGCTGAGAAATGTCAACGTCACTCAATTTAAAACAAAAAAATCTGTGGTAATCTGTGACAGGAACAAACACTTATTAGCAAACAAAAAACTTCTTAGTCTTTAAAACAAAACAAACTTTATCAAAAACTTAATAAAATTATTGTTAGCGCGGTTATGGACTAGCTGACCCGGCGAACTTCGTACCGTATAGTTTATCAAAAAGCATTAGAATAGAGAGAAGCAGTGAAGGGTATAGAGGCTATTAGTTGCTTTCTAGAGCGCGCGTGGTGTTGAGCTCAGTGTTTACTTCAAAATGCAAAGTTGTTCAATAGCGATGTGTAAAAATATGAGTGAAATTGAACCCTATGGAATAAACACTATTATGAAAATATATATGTTGTTTTTTATTTAATAAAAATTAGTAAAGTCCTCAGGTATGGCGAGACCAGGGAAATAAGGATTCATTTTTATATGGAGGATATTATAGATTCCAGTTCAAATTGAATAGGTACTCATACATAAGATAGGTCAGCTATACAAAATAAAGTAGTGCATCAAAGCTAAGGCGGTACGAAGGACGATCAGTCTTTGAATAGGTTTGCTGTAGCATTGTCAACGATCTTTTTTTGAATTACTGAAAGCAAGGCACCTCTGTCTGCGGAGTTGAAGACGTTCTTGACATCCACCTTCAGCTCTACCTCCGCTGCATCAAAGAACAGATAGGTGCTAAGAGCGTGAACAGCTGCTTCACTACTGCTGCTTTGTGAACCCTCGACGCCAAAATCAAGCTGAACTGGTTGGAATTATGCTGAAACTGTCGGTAAAATGTGGTGGCAACAAATTTTGGATACCATACAGCGAAAGGTGGAGCCAACAGCTATAGGGCGAATACCACCGTCTTTATTCTTTAACGCAATTAAGTTGGCTCCGTGAAAGAAAATATATAATATTTTTTTAGATATTTATATAACATTTTTCATTATTTCTACAGCTCAAATGACGTAACTAACAATAATATACACCATTTTAGGTACGTAAATAATCGCCAAATGATGACGCATTTAGGATATTGAATTATAGAAATTAAATAACTTTATTCAAATAATATATCTTCAGAAATGATAACCTAACAACCTACAATAGAAAATAGGACTGTATCAAACAATTCTATCGAATAAAGGTCATATCTATTTGCGTCTCTATTATACTATATATTTTGAACGAAACGATATAACCAATTTTGTATAAAAATAACAAAATAATTTAATAACTGTTTTACCTTCTTGTCAATTTTATTCATAAAGCCTTGTTCATGAGCATGGTGCTATATCAAATGTATTTAAAATACCATTTAAGCTTCAGAGAGCTTAACTATGACATAACATTTTTAGGAGTTGGATAGAAAATCCAACTTGCTGCAGTCCCTCCAGCGGTGCCAAATTGACTATCGATATATCGAAGTGTTGAAGTTTTTGTATAGAAACGCCACTATGTCAGTCCGAATCCAGGATAGAAGTACGAAACCGATTCCATTGCAGAAGGGTGTCAGACAGGGGGACGTAATTTCCCCGAAACTGTTCACCGCTGCATTGGAAGACGACTTCAAGCTTCTGGATTGGACCGAACTCGGCATCAACATCAACGGCGAATACATCACTCACCTTCGATTTGCAGACGATATCGTGGTTATGGCAGAATCCCTGGAGGACCTTGGCACAATGCTCAATGACCTCAGCAGAGTTTCCCTGTGGCTGAAATGGCTCATCCCTGCACTAACACAAAGGATTTATTTCTTAGCCCCGAGGATTGAGGTTATGATTGAGGTGCTGTATGTTAAAATACAGGTGACAATACTAGTTCAGCTTGTTCGGCAGCAGATCTGATGATTGTCTTTTATGGCAACTTGCACCAATATTCCTACTTCAAAATAACTTTGTCAATTGTTTAAATTCAAATAGATAAAGTTTTAAATCTGTGTTAAGATTTTTGGTTTAATCGGACCGTATAAACTAAATTGTAGTGACTACAGTTACAGACAAAATGTTATATATATGAACAACGCCTTATTTTTTCGAAAACTGCAAGTAATAGGTACATGAAAATATTAGTCTTTGCGAATGCTAAGAAACTGTTAATGTAGATATGTACCTAATTGAATTCCATAATATTTAAGTCTACAATTATATTTTGTATGTTGAATATAGCAATTACACAGGTATGTATTTATTGATTCTTCTAGGAGTTATGACGTCATTAACAGCATCCGGTACCTACACTTCGTGTGATCGATGAGACCGATAGATTGATAAGACACGACTTCGTTGATTTTTCCATCATTCATTATAACTTTAAAATTGATCGCATATATAGGTATTCCAAAACAGAAATAATACAATTGTAAGTGGTACGCAATGCAATTCAAACAATAAATGGTTGTGAAGTTAGCAGCGATCGAACTTGCATCAAATTCATGGCGCTGTAATTTATTTTTAATAGCAATAGTTGTTATTTAAGCTATGACAATACTGAAAATGATATGATACCTCTTTCTACGTTCGT